GAGTCCAGGAACATCAATTCGGCACCGTGGTCAAGAATTGAACATTTCGAGAAGCTTTTTACAGCGTATTCTCACGAAAGATTTGCATCTTCATGCTTACAAAGTTCAATTAACTCAAGAACTGAAGCCTACTGACCACGCACAGCGAAGAGAGTTCGTTGAATGGATTATGGAACAACAACAAGTGGATGCTGATTTTTCGAACAAAATCATCTTCAGCGATGAGGCTCATTTTCATCTTGATGGCTTGGTTAATCGACAAAATTGTCGCATTTGGGGTTCAGAAAATCCACGAGTGATTGTTGAGAAACAAATGCATCTACAATGTGTCACTGTTTGGTGCGGATTTTGGGCTGGAGGCATCATCGGACCATTCTTCTTCGAAAATGCGACTGGTCAGGCAATAACAATTAATGGTACTCGCTATTGCGACATGATAATCCAGTTTTTTATGCCTAAATTGCAAGATATGGATGTGGACGACATGTGGTTTCAACAAGACGATGCCACATGCCATACAGTCCGAGAAACAATTCAATTACTGCATGAGTCATTTCCTGGTGGTATAATTTCCCGTTTTAGTGATCAGATTTGGCCGCCCAGATCATGCGATTTAACGCCGTTGGACTTTTTTCTTTGGGGTTTTTTGAAGTATAAGGTTTATTCCAACAAGCCTACGCCTTAAAGGAGGAAATTGATCGCTGTATCAACGAAATTCAGCCACAATTATGCAAAACGGTCATGGGAAATTTCAACAAAAGAGTACATATGTGCCAGCAAAGCCGTGGAGGCCATTTACCCGATATGCTATTCCATACATAACCCTATACTGTATACTTTATGAATCAATAAAAAATTTTCAATTTTTAATTATAAACCTGTGTTTTCTATCAAAATTACTTCTTGCGTGAATTTTGGGACCCTTTATATATACCCTTTATATACACATTTCCACACATTTGTGGCATTCAATTTATGGCATACATTTAATAAGTGCTACATATCTATAAAATTTCATTAAAATCGAACCGGGATTGGAAACAACACTCTAACCGACACAATTTTATAATTTAATAATATTTTTACCATTTTTAAGTTTAAAAGTTTACAACGTCTTAAGTCGTGTCAACCATATACAAATAAACTTTTGTTCTACGTTACACAAAATTATCTATAACTTTATAGATATTAAAAATATTAGGTGTGTGAATTAATTCGATCCGTTTTTCTTCCAAAAAAAGACTTTAGTATGAAAAAACATGAAAAAATACACTAATCAAAGTATTTGCCATCGCTTGCTATTATTTTTTCCCATCTATCTGGCAGTTGTTGCATTCCCTCCGGAAAAACGACTCGTCCTTCGAAGTAATCCATTCATTGAGCCATTTCTCTATTTTTTCATAATTGTTGAAGTGCTGGTCCGAAAGCCCCTGTGCTATTGATCTGAACAAGTGATAATCGGATGGAGCAATGTCTGGTGAATACGGCGGGTGAGGTAAAACATCCCAACTAAGTGCTTCTAAGATGGCCTTCACAATCTTTCCAACATATGGCCGAGCGTTATCGTGCTGGAAGATCACTTTTTCGTGTCTCCTTGCATATGCCGGTCGCTTATCCTTCAATGCGTTGTTTAAACGGATCAATTGTTGTTGGTAAAGTTCGGCAGTGATGGTTTGGCTCTGTTTTAATAATTCATGATACACTACACTCTTCTAGTCCCACCATATACAGAGCATTACTTTCTTGCCATGAATATTCCGTCTTGGTATCGATCTGGATGGTTTTCCTGGGTCACTAATGGATTTTCTTCGTTTGGAATTATCGAAATATATCCACTTTTCGTCTCCAGTCACAATACGATGCAAAAAACCTTTTCTTTTTTGCCTGGTAAGCAAGATTTCAGACATGGCTTTTCGTCTCCCGATGTCTCTTTCTTTCAGTTCGTATGGCACCCATCTTCCTTCTTTGTAAATCTTTCCCATGGCTGCCAAACGCACAGAAATTGTTCATCAATCAACATTCAACAATTGCGCGAGCTCATGTTGCGATTGACACGGATCTTCATCGACTAGCGTCTGCAATTCCTCGTCCTCGAACTTCTTCAGCTGACCTGGACGAAGTTTGTCATCGACACTGAAATCATTACTTTTGAAACGTCAAAACCATTCTCTGCATGATTTATCGGTGGGAGCACTTTTATTAGGAGTACAAATAAGTTTCCGCCGTTTGACAAAAGATGGCCCCACCAGAAGGTTATGTTGAAATTGTCAGATGTAAAACGTAATATCGTAAGTTTGGACATCTGGTAACAACATAACCTTGAAGTATCAGTAACTCCGTATCAGCATCACATAATTTTTTTCGTGCAAAAATTTTGTGCCGAATAAGCGTCATCTGCGGGAACTTTTAATTTACTTCTTTAATTTGAAAAAATCTGCAGCTAAGGCGCATCGATTGCTTATAGAAGCATATGGTGAAACTGCTTTAAGTGAGAGAAGTTGTCGTGAGTGGTTTCAAAAGTTTAAAAACGGTGAGTTTGACGTAAAAGACAAAGAACGTAGTGAAAGGCCAAAAGTGTACGAAGACACGGAATTGGAAGCATTATTGGAGGCAGATTTGTGCCAAACGCAAGAAGAACTTGCACTTACATTAGAAGTGACTCAACAAGCAATTTCACATCGTTTAAAATCGTTGGGAATGATTCAAAAACAAGGAAATTGGGTTCCATATGAACTGAAATCGAGAGACATTGAACGCCGATTTTGCATGTATGAAATGCTGCTTTCCAGGCATAAAAAAAAGGCTTTTTTGCATCGTATAGTCACTGGTGATGAAAAATGGATCCACTATGATAACCCAAAGAAGCGAAAATCATGGGGACCACCTGGCCATGCTTCAACATCGACAGCCAAACCGAATATTCATGGAAAAAAACTCATGCTGTGTATTTGGTGGGATCAGCTTGGTGTCGTGTATTATGAGTTGCTCAAACCGAGCGAAACCATTACTGGAGCTCTCTACCGAACACAATTAATGAGATTGAGCCGAGTACTCAAGGAAAAACGCGCCCATTACTACTCCAAACACGACAAAATTATTCTCCTACATGACAACGCTCGGCCACATGTTGCAAAACCGGTCAAAACCTATTTGGAAACACTTAATTGGGAAGTCCTACCCCACCCGTCGTATTCACCAAATATTGCCCCTTCCGATTATCACTTGTTCCGGTCGATGGCACATAGCCTGTCTAAGCAGCACTTTATATCATATGAAGATACTAAAAATTGGGTCGATTCGTGGATAGCCTCAAAAGATGAAGAGTTCTTCCGATGTGGTATCCGAATGCTGCCAGAAAGATGGGAAAAAGTAGTGGCTAGTGATGGACAATGCTTTGAATAGAACGTAATGTACCGTTCTTTCACAATAAATTCCTAATTTTTGATAGAAAACGGCGGAAATTTGTACTCCTAATACCATAAGCTTCTACGAGCATTCGATGAACTTCAGCAGCTATTTTCTTCAAATGAAAACAGAAAATGAGAACTTCCCGGAAATGATGCTTTTTTGGCTTGAATTTCGACATTTTCGAATCAGATAAACATGATGTTATTGTTACAAACCCAAACGTTTATCAACTGAATATTATTGCCAGATATCAAAACTAAAAAATAAAGCCTTTTGCAGACATTAGAGATTAGAAAATTACATAGCGCAGCAACTGACCGGCAGATGGACCGAATTAATTCACACACCTAATAATAATGTATAGGAATTACTACACATAGTTCAAGCATAGACAAATATTTCTGTAAAATTTTAGAAGTGTATATCTTATAGATGAAAAAGAAATTTCTAAAAATTACCTACAAAACGATGTCTTAAATGATTTTTCAAATATTCCTTAAGATACTCCTTTAAAATAATTTAATCAGTTTACCTTTGAAGAAATTTTTTATTAAAAAACAAAATATAGCGCTCATATAATATTGCCAGATTTTTACAGTTCATCTATCATATATAATATTTCAACTACTATCAGAAATTGTGTACATATTAATTTCTCGAAAACAAACGTAATTTTTTATAATATTTTTACAAGTCTCGTATATTGTTTTCTTGTTTTTCGTTAACAGCGTACGTAATTGGTTCTTGGTATTAAAGACGTAATTTAGAAAGCTGTTTTTGTATCTGCTGTACATGTAAATACTGCTAACTTTGAATTATCTCAGCATCGGTATGATTAATTTTAATGATTAATTTAAATCTAATTTATATATGTATAAACCGATTGGTATATTATCAAAATTTAAAAAGATTCCAAAGAAGATTTTATGACCTTGTCTTAAAAGTGAGAACAGAAGAAAATATCCTGAAGAGATTGAACCGATAGATACCGTACAAGTTTCTCCATATATGGTGACTGTCGGTACACAATATCGAACTATCTCAGAACCCGCACAAAATCCTCAGTCCGCAATTACACTTTCACCGAGGAAAAGTTGCGTTTAATTTCATTAAAAGGTCTGCGGTCAAAGAAGATACGATTGTGGTGAAGTTCTCTACAAGTCGTAACCGGTATATTAAGTAAACCAGAACTAAGGATGCTACAGAGAGCAGTATTTTTGTCTCACCAAGACAAAAAGAGAAAAACGAAAGAAGTTCATCCAATCGATCAGCGATTCGTATGGAAATATGCTGATCGAATCCGGGATCGGCATCGGCAACAGTAATGGGGCGTTTCGCCGGACGAAACCGCTGGCGAAAATTAGTCGCCTAAGCCCGCAGGCGTCGTGTTAACGCATGACGGATTGATTTAACTCGAGGTAGACCACAAAATCTGTGCCGCTTGTCTTCTCGCAACTCTTCACCACGAATATATGTACATGCGTCATCGGGCTATGTATGACGTATTCTTTTCGTGCCTACAAATGATCGGGTCAGAGGAATATAAGAAGCAGATTAGCAAAGGCATTCGGACGAAGGTCTCGCGCTCCTTCTTCTTCGGCGTGCGACGAGTCGCTGACTTTTCGTACCGACTCAGTCGCTGTATTCGCGGTATTCGCGTTATTCCTACGACGATACGCACCGCACGAATCTAGGAATCCGTATACACACGACGGATTCGACGAGGTATAAATGCCTGTAAGACCTGTTTTCGCGATTACCTCGTCCCGAGGAATCCCGCCAAGTGCGTTGTTCACCAGGAATAGAAACGCCGCCAGTCTTTGTTTGTCCGCGCACGAAGACGGGAGGAAGTGCTTAGAATCGCCAGTGACTTCCCGTGATTTCCATAGTTTCGGCCGATTGATCGGTAAGTAAGACATTATTTGGTTTCCGCGCAGGATAAAGCGCGATGCTCGCTCTAACTAAGTGTTTTCACAACATATTAATCTCGAGGATCGCAATACAATCCTCTTAACGCGAGGAGGATTTAAAACTGATCTATCGATGAATCGCAAAGTCGGTGGACATACATTGTTTCAAGAAGAAATGTATCAAAATTTAAAAAGTGGGGCTATTTCCTGAAAAGTTATGATACCGAAATCCGAATGTCAATGCAATTTTCCGAAATACAATTTTACTAAAATATCAGAATCGTCTCGGGGCACAGCTGGATATATTAGTACTTACTCATTTAAGTATAACAAGACTTAAATGCAAATAAGAGAAAACATTTATGAAAAATAGCAAATACTTATCCAATATATACTAATAACATTCAATACATATTAATGACATATCTATTTATACTAACACACCACGAATATATTTCTTTACGGAGAAAAAAATTTTTTCAAATGCGAAAATATATATTTTCCTAAAACTGTAACTTTTCATAAAAGCAAATGTATATTACATTTATATAAACGAATTTAGATTTAAATAAACTAGTACTTAATAAATTAAAGTTTTATACTTTTTAGATCTTCTTTCTTTCAATATAAGCAAATATTAATATTACGTACTGAGTATACTATTTCTGAAACAATAGTCCTTCCTCAGAATAATAATGTATTTTTGAAAAATTATTTTTCGGAATATTATCTCGGATTTCAATATTGCGAAACTTTTCGGGAAATTACTCCAATTTTCAGATTTCGATTTCCTGAGGTAATGTCTGTCGCAAACTTCGTTTCATATACAATTTGCACTCAAATCTCAGTCTACGTTTTGAATATGAGAAAAATTAGTGAGTTCTACAACATGCTGGAGTAAGCTTTCAAGAAGACAAGTAGATATTGGTTGACTTGCTTTTCGTCAGTAACAATTCCAGCACTTAAAATGAAATTGATACATATTCCGACGTTTGAGTGTGAAAAGAAGAAAAAAAAGTATAAAAGAGATGTAGATAACACGAACAGACCTTATATTTTTACTATTGTCTGATATATATATATATATATATTATTCTAGATATATATATATATATATATATTGTAAAGGTTTATTGTTATTATTTTAGTTCAGAAAGAAGTTGAAGGAGATATGTTTTTCAGATGGACAGAGAAAATAGATAGAGAAAATATAGTGACTTTTATTCCTTATTTGTGTCAGCGTAATTTGGTATTTTAACATTAAGATATTAATCTGAAATTTTCAACATTATGTTATAACTAAAGATAGTATACTTGAAACTTCGAAACACCTCCAGACCTTCAAAACTCTGGAAGGTTTGGAGTTTTGAGAATTCGAAATTTGGCGCTATTTTTGCAATTCGAAACTTTCAAAATCTGAAGCCAAGATGTCAGTTTAAAAAAAAAATTGAAATACTACTAGAAGAAACAAAATTTACGAGAATAACGATTGACGTCGAAAAACAATTTTAGTTTTTCGCTGTATATGTAATCACGTGTAAATACATTTTCATTTTTAGATATTATAAGATTAATTTTGAGAAAGTTATAATTTATATTCGTTTTATATGCACAATTATTCTCTTTTATTTGAAATTAGCATTTCAGGTTTGGAAACTTTCCATAGTTTCGAAAGTTTTTAAGCCTCACAAAGTTTCAGTTTTGAGCTTCAAAGACCTAAAAATCAAATGTCGACTTATCTTTGGTTATAATTTTATTTCATTATTTATAATTTCCTACAGTTTATCACAAGTTATTGTTGTTGATCATAGGTTATTGTTATCTGTAGTTTATTTTAATACTATAGTTATTTTTTTTATATTTTTATTTTATTTTATAATATTTCTTTTTTTAATTTTTTACCTTTTATTGTTTATAGTTATTTTTATTTTATATTTATTATATATTAGGTTGATGCAAAAATAATGTCGGATTTTTAATGACAACTTTAAACGTGTATAACTTTTAACAACCATAACTTTTTTAATCAAAGTAAGAACCATTAAACATCTACCCATTTTTATCAACGAAAAATAAGTTTTGTTATTCCTGTTATTTATCTGATTTTGTTTCAATTCGTGTGGGACTTATTTGTCCAGCTTTTTCACCTTCCCCATTTTTTTTAAATGGGGAGAACGATGGCGTGATCAACACTAAGTTCTTTTGTAACTTCCTGTGTAGTTTTGAGCGGATTAGCTTCGATTATTGTTCTTAATTGGTCGTCAACAATTGTCGATGGACGTCCCCGACTTTTTTTTTCATCAAGGCTTTCATCACCTATACAAAATTTTCCATACCAATGTTGAACTGCGCGTTTGTTTACAGTTCCTTGTCCAAATGCGATATTGATATTGCGCACCATTTTCGCTGCTTTACGGTAAAATTGATTTCGTATAACAAAATTGCACAAAATTGTTTTTTACCCATTTTTTCTTTGACATCCAAAACACACGATTAGTTATCAACAAAAACAAATGCCTGCTGTCGAAAATATAGAGCGAAGACTGCATTTTAAAATGACGTACAATATGGCTACCTTCATATAAAAATTTATTTAGGATTTTAAACGAGAAATTTGAATATACAAAAATCAATATTATTTTTGCACCAATCTAATATAACCTTTAATTTATTTTATAAATTATTAAATCTATAAATCATATGCAATCGAATATCATGTATACACTTTCAATTAAAAATTCTAATCTACCCTACTCATCCATATATGTTCAATTTTATATATTTTATTGATAAAAATTAATTCAAATATAACAATACATCATATAGCTGCGAAAAATTTTATCTTGAATAATATCATATTTATTTTTAAAGATGGACTCATGATGAAGAAGATCGAGATTGAAATTTCAAAACCCTTAACAATTTATTCAGTTACTTCTAAATTGAATTTTTCTCTTTTTTTAATTTCGATATTTTTTCAATTTTCTAAAGAACACAAAGAAAAATATTTTATAATATACAATTTGTAATTCTTTACCATTGTTTCTTTCACAATAATTACGAAAATAAAATACATAATAAATCTGTCCCTCATGTGAATCTACTCTGATTCTTCCTGAAGTACGTGTCAAATATCATTTACACAATCGGGAACCTTAGTGCGTATTATAAATGTAATTTAACGTGGAACGTTGATGCAACATTTTAAGAGCGATTTTACGTCCAAAGCAAGTCTTCACATCTCGTCCTCGTACTTTCATACCCTTCCGCCGATCTCGAATCTCAAATAGAATATAACGTACTTGTTAGCTTTACAGTAAAATTGCTCGTCGACATGTCGCAATGCCACCACCATTGGAATGTGTGCGTATACACGTGGAGTTATTGCGAGCATCGTGAATTATGTAATTTGCGCATCCTGAGCTTCGAGAGCCCGTACAACCGGTTTCCATAATACCGACATAAGTTTCGGTGGATAGCCTAAGCAGTCGTTTATCAGGATTCACATAATTATACCGATATGAGAGCTATCATACGCGATGTCGTGAAATAGTCGCGAAGCGTGGGATTCTATGACGCGCGAGCTCGCGCATACCGTAAAATTTTCCCGGGCTATCAACGTGGAATTCTGAAGTCAACGTCCCGATGAAGGTTCTCACATTTTACCGAGATTGACTGTGTAAGACATAAAGCCGAGGCTGTATGTGTCTTATGTGTAGTATTTTGTTAATTAATCACACAATACTTCTAATATAACTACTTTGTTAATTAATCACATAATACTTCCAATACGATATGACCAATCTCATTGAACATTTTCTCTAAATTTCTTGGAGTAAAATTTCACTTGAAAAATCGAAACTTCATTTAAATGCTGATGAAAATATTGTCACTTGAAATTACAGAAATAAACGATCAAAGTAATCAGTGTATAATAATATTATTAGAAAAATGTAGTTAATACAATATAAAGAAATCCGTAAGAGAATAATCGTTTCTTGTAAATTAATATATAATATATTTAGTTATAACTGTTTATGTTAAGTAGATGTTTGTAAATATTCAATATAATGTATAAAAGTAATTTAGTCTTTAAAATTAAATATGCGATATCGGAAGTCGTTTTTGTATATGATATATATATAAATAGTATTGATTTTTACTTTAGTTATCTCAAGCTTCAATACGGTCGATTTTTCTTTAATTGTACGTGTGTGTAAATTATGTTTCAAATACATCATGTATACTAGATAAACACACACTGTATGCTACAAATAACAATGGCTTAGGATTTTTCGATATTTTTCCCTACTGTTTGCATTATTGTGCATTAATAATAGAGATCTTTAAGATTATTTCATCCTTAAAAAAATGATTAAACAAGAGATATAAAGGAAAATATAGCGCCTCTAATATTGCTTAATTTGTATAGGTATATACTTTAACCGTTATCAAAAATTGTGTTTTTATATATTAATTTACATGATTTTACATATCATTTTGTCGGAAATTGATCAATGATCACATAATTTTTTAAAATATTTCTATAAAGCTTTTCTATTATCTTTTTATTTTTCATTAAAATTGTAAAAATAGTTGGTTTGTAGAATTAAAAATCGAAAATTAAAAATTTAAAATGTGATACAGACATTATATACATAATTTTTGTAATACATATAAATAGTACTAATTTTTAACTCCAGTTGCTTTAGTTTCTGCGCCGTCAATCTTTTTCTAATATGTAAGTCATGTTTCGATTAATATATATCAAAATTTAACAAAATTTCTAATAAAATGAATTGAGAGACTGATCATCTATCTTATTTAGACTATTTTTTATTATTCAGTTTATAATAAAAATATTCGCTCAATTATTCCAAGTAGAGCATTTATCCTATTTAAGTAAAAATATGTTCCAATTCTAATAACTCGACCGTTACTTTATTTTTCGAGTGAAATTTTATTCGAAAAAATGTAGAATTTTCTTCTATAATTAATAATTGTTTTCAGGAAATCGCCAAAGGATGCTGTCCTTCATTCTATGTTTGCTGCCTTTGGCGACAAGCTTACCCGTAGAGTCGTCCTCGAAGAATTATATCTTGGATATTGACAAGAATATCCTAAGAAACATTCGTTTCGTTGGAGATCCTAGTCTTCAGCTGAATCTATCAAGCATGAATCTCCATGCAATACAGAAGAACGCATTCGATTATGTAGCCGATGTGGAGTCTCTCGACTTGTCTAACAATTCGTTGACTTCATTACCTGAATTCATTTTCTCCAACCTGACGAAGCTGAAGAATCTATTTCTATCAAGCAATCAAATATCGAGTGTGCGCACCCTGTTTGTTGGCTTGGAGAATCTGCAGCTGTTGGACATTTCCCATAATTATATCAGACATCTCAAGAGAGGCAATCTGTTTGGCTTGACCAAGTCCACCAGAATTCTCATTGACCAAAATATCCTCTGGAGCATCAGCACAGGCGTGTCCGCTAACTTTTTCCTAAAGCATACAGAACTGGAGCAAGCAGCCAACAAAATTACAATCATGAAAGAATACGAAGAACAGGAGAAGAAGGAGGAAATCGATAACATGGCTTTTAACGAACGAAAGAATCATGAAGTTCTGAGCAAGTACACTCGAGTGAAGTTATGCAAATCTGACGGTGTCGTAAGGTCATTGGATATCCTCTTAAAGGACGAGGAACTCGCAGAAGGATGTGCCCAAGTGCCACTTGACGTAGACAAGAAGGATGTGATGCTTCAGGAGCAAAACATAGTAGCTTTCCAAGAAGGCTGGTACCAGCTGCAGTCTTTGCCGATCGCTTCGATAGACCTGTCGAACAACGAAATTGCTGAGATCAGGGAGGAAACGCTGAACGACTTGCCGGCGGGTCTTACATACGTAAATTTCCTGGGAAATAAAATACGCAGGATCTGGAGTCAGGTGGTTAAGAACGAGTATCTGAGAAATCTCAACTTCAAAGACAACCTAATCGAGGAGATCGAAGATGGTGCGTTCGAGAAAACGAAGTTGTACGGACTGTACCTCGCTGACAATCAGATAGAAGACTTGAACTTCGTCTCCACGTTGCCGGAGACCTTAACGGAGCTTATTCTGAGCGGAAACCGCGTAACTTCCGTTCCTAACGGCGTGTTCGCTAAGCTGCCTCACCTAAGCCATCTGACTCTTAACGATAACAAGATTGACACGTTGCGGAACGACGCTTTTCAGGGTCTTGTGTCTTTGCGCACATTGATGTTGATGAAAAACCGTGTGACGACGATTGAGCCGGCCACTTTCAAAGGCTTGGTAGCATTGAGAGTGCTCGATTTACCTTACAATTTCATACGAGATTTGCCGAACGGCACATTCGTCGAGTTGACGGCTCTGAAGGAATTGAATCTCGCCCGAAACAAGATCACCGACGCTTCGTTCGCCGATCTTCCGAGTACTTTGAACTCCTTGCATCTCGATTACAACGAGATCGAAGCGCTCGAGGAAGGCAGCTTCGTACAAGCCCCCAGGCTATCTCTGTCCTTGACCGGAAATAGAATCTTCAATATAGCGCGTGGTGCCTTCAATCTGCCCACGCTCAGGGACCTGTACTTAAACAACAACAATTTGACAACTATCGAAAGCAACAGTTATGAAGGTTTGAGACATTTGAGACGCCTTTGGCTCTCAGATAACTTTATCACCAAAATCCACAAGGGTTCCTGTAAAAATTTCGGCAGCCTCTATATTTTGGATATATCTAGGAATCCTTTCCACAAACTGGAGAACGGCGCTCTGTACGGTATCAGCACCGGTATGGGAAGCAACGTGTATATTTATGAGAACAATCTGAAGGAAATGCAAGCCGGTCTCTTTGAAAACGTTTAATCGCTTTAAAAAGTTCGTTCTAACATGACACGATATACTCATCTACGATAGATAAAAAATTTATCAACACATTTTCGCACATCTCTATATTTACCATTTTATATATTCATTGTTTCAATATATATTACATACATATTTTTATTTTTACTACATATTTTATTATATATTTATATTTTTCATTGTATATTTATATTACAAACTAATTAATTAAATTAAATATGAAATTAAATTAAATTAAAATAAATTTTTAAACATTAAAATTATTTTAAATTTATTAGTTAAATAAAATTAGAATGAAATAAAAGAATGAATGATAAATATAAAATGAATTAAAATATATAAAGTAGAGAGAGAGAAGGGAAAAAGGGTAGGGGGAAGGAAAAAAGAGAGGTTATAATTCGTAATGGAACGAAAAATAGTCTTCATATAAAAATTAAAAATCAAAAATATAAAATAAAATTTTTTTATATAAAGTTTCATTTACAAAACAATTAATTTATCAGAGGTATGTCAGTAAGGCTTCACTCTGACCTATCATTGCATTGGAAGAATTTATGGTGACAATGTTTGTATCACAAGTAAATACCATAGAAAAAGATTTCATATTTGTTCTTGTATTGATGTTTGTAATAAAATAAAAAAAACATACCATACAAAATTCTTTTGTATAAACAATATCACTTAATGCTTACGTTATCAATTTAGTCACACACGTGATGTGATGAATTTTTAAAATCGGCTTTTTAAGAACAGAGGCATGATAAAAGTTTTTTTATTTTTATTTTGTATATTTCACTTATTTTTATGAAGAATTACCTTCTTTTTTTTGTATCGCAAGTTACATCTCATCCTGTGCATATTTGTGAATGTGTGTATGTTAATTTTAATATAAATCTTAAAATAAAATATCTTTTATAATATTTTATTATATCTTCAAGCGATCAAATGCATGTGCAATCTCACAACAAAGTCTTCAGCTGCTTTGATATTTAATCTGAGGAAAGCACATGGCCAGGGCAATTTTCGTAAAAGTGCCTGGCAATTCGCTTTCACCGAACGCATGCCCACGACTCTGTGTAAAATCGCAATAATAATAAAACCCGATCCGTGCAAGACGAAACGTGCGACTTGCAACCGGCTAGCCTTGACTTTCACATGAAACCTTCCAACTTACGACTTCAACAACCAGGTATCCGAGACCCGTTTGAAGGTCGGCACGCTGTTAGAAGTTATCTCATTTTTTCGCAACGTCGATCGACTAACGGTAGACCGCGGTCAAAGTGTTGTATAATGAAATTGAGTAATCGGACGTCATCTTCGTGACAGAGGAGGAAGGACCGATTGATTGTTTCATCTGTATATATTACGACAGACAGGATAACAGTAGTCGGTATGTACTACACATTTCGTACGTACAGTCGCCTAATTAAAATTTGCAATATTCTTCCGTTTTGTTTTTGAAAAGCATTCGATGTCCAAAAAAAGACGGATCTCCTGAAAATTACTAAACAAGCATTTTTTTTTAATACGAGATGCGCTACTTGCAAAAGAAAATTGTTATAACCATTAATCAGGCGACTGTATAACAAAGCAGAGGAAATCGTCATTTCTTCTAGAATCCGTTTGTTAGAATTTTTGGTATTTATGTATAAAAGGGGCCCCTTCTCCGATTTGATTTATTTTTAAATATGTTGTTGGGAGAGTCTTCCTGAGTCGTTTCATATACATATATAAGGGTCGGATGCAAATAGCTTCGAAAATACAAGCTGAAAGTAGTAAATATGAAAATTCATTTAAAGTAATGAATCACCGAAGCATACACACACACACACACACACACCGAAGGGGGGGTGCGGGAGGGTTTTTGGCTTCCCCACCCGCACCCCCCCTCGTCTGGTCGAACTTGCGTGTGGAAAATCGCAAACTCATGTGACACAGAGCAATACGACTTTCCATATGAAGTGAGTTTCATCCGTTAAGGGAAGGTGCAGGTGGGGAGCCTGTTTATTTATATTTTCAAAATTATTCTATTTGTTTGTTTATGTTTGAATTTCTTCATATATTTTCGACGAAGAACATTCAGCATTCACTTAGAGACCGTCTCATCGTACAGTTTTCTTCACAATGTGAAGAATAATGAAACTACACGAATTTTTATCCTTTCTCAACCTGTATTTCTGAAGCTATTTGCGTCCGACCCTTATATATATATTATATAATGATATATAAAACGACTCAGAAAGTCTCCCCCAACAACATATTTAAAAATAAATTAAATCGAGGAGGGGGCCTCTTTTATGCATAAATACCGAATTTTTCAGTAATTGTACAAAAATGATCGGAACAACATTCCTCTGAGTTTTTATGTTGCAAACAATTTTGTAGACTGTATATTTTTTCTTTATAGTCTAGATATAAATGTGCAATAACACAACGAAGCTGCTCCGACATTGAATCAAGGTCACAGAATATTCATGACAGAATAATAACATGAAATATATATGGTTATGAAAATATGTATTATTATTTAAAATTATTTTGTAATGAATGGGGTTTACACTTGCATGCTGTTCCTAAGAGCGTAAAGATATTTTTTTAAGAAATAAAATGTAATGATTCTTAGTTTATGATTCTTATATTATTTAATAAAAACATAATTTTTATTTACATCAACATAACTTGTTTTTTAAAAATTAGGATGTTTGTCTTAATTTGTTATTTTTTTCATTGTGTTAAACTGTATATTAATCTGTATATTAAAAGATTAATGGGGTAGTCTATTGAAATTTTACTAACTTTAACAAAAAAACACATGAATAAAATTTATTCGTTCACATGAAACAGAATGCATATACAAAATTTTAAGGTTCTCGAAAGGACCCCAAAGTTTGTCTACTTTGTGTATAAGGGTAATTTTGGAGATGCAGGAAATCAAAATGGGCAAATTCCTAATATTATGCAAGCACTATAAATATAAGAAAAAAGTTAAGACTTCTTTGATAATAATGATATTTTGATTACGATTAGTCAGAATAGTTTTCTGAGACCACTATATCAAAAATCCGATTCCTCCATCCTTGTCGCTTAATTTTTTAAAGGAGTAAGACTACATAAAAAAAGTTTCTGCTAAATTTTTTGAAAACGGTTGTAGATATAAAACAAATATTTAGGGCAAAATTGTTTGTTTTAAAATTCTGCTCCAAAAAGATCTATTTCATTCTTTTATAAAATCAACCCTTTGGTCAAAAACCGTATCTGAAGAAAGATAGTTTCTGAAAATGAAGGGAGTTTCAAGAAAACGAAGAAGTCCTCTTAAAGAACTATTATTGCAGGAATAAACGTTGACATTAGCGATATTCTTGTAGTACAGTTTAAGATAATTGAAAGATTTTATTTTAAATATTGCGAACTGCAATATTTATACTGCATGCGATATTTAAAGTATCTTGATATGAGATATTTAATTTTGCCTTAGAAATTCACAGCTAGTATCGCCAGCTTCGACATTTATAATTAGCAGTTTTAGCAGTGTACGGAACTTAAGAGTTTTAAAGTTGTTTTTCTGAATGTTTATACAGATTTTGATAACTACATTCCTCTCTCTCCCATAAAAATGTAGAAGAATGAAGGTAAAGGTTTACTGTGCTAGAAAAATAAAAGGATTTATATTCATTTTTTTACATAAGTATAAAAAAGAGCGTTAACTATTGTCTCTATCTGCGTTGAATATCATTAATATCGATATTCGTTTTTGCAATGATAGTTCTTTGAGTAATTCTCTTTATTTTCTGAAGAAATTATCTTTTTGAGAGTAGTTTTACTTTTTTGAAATAATTAAGTAACAAAATGGAAAAATCGGATGTTTAGTACAGTAGTCAAAAAATCATTCTGATTAATTTTAGTCAAAGTCTCTGTCCCACTGTTATCAAAGAAATTTCAATTTTCTTCTTCTGTCAATTGCGCTTGCGAATTTGATCATTCTCACCATATTTCTAAAATATGCTCAACTTAAAATTTTTTTGAGATTAATGTCTTACCATACAGCATCGTTTGATATATAATTCGATTCAAATTCGAGAACCACAGAATAGACGAAAAAATCCTATATTGTTGAGATCACTTTTTACTTAACTCTTAAAAATTAAACTTTCTCCAAATATTTTTCTCAATTTTGATAAAAGTCAGGAAATAATATCTATGTTTTAAAATGAAAATTTTTCTGTTCTTTTTTTATTGTTCTCACAATAATAAACGAAAAAATCGGCGAACGTGCTCCTACCCTACAAACCTGCCATGCTCTACTTTGTGAAGTGTTCGAAAAATCATGTAGCGAGATCGATAAAATCAACATGTATCCTTGACGCACAACCGGATCCCAATGTCTATTGCGGCGCCACGTAATTCCATTCGTGCCGGATAATCTCGTTTCGCGGCGCATCGATCGTGACAATTAGCGTGACAAAACAGACTGCGTTTCCGCGCACCGGAAGGCGGTAGTCCGCGCGCGTAATTACGTAACACGCATATTCCTCCTCGGCTCTAATTAACTTGCGGACGTAGCTTCTTCGTCGGACGTGCTTGCAAAGTGAGTGCATCGCGATCTTTCCTTTTCCTAGACAAGCAAGGTCTTCTTCAAGGTACCGATATGATCTGACGAGTCGATTTGTTTAATTGGATCTTGAGGGGCTGTATAGTAGTTGGTAGGGGGAAGGTGGGAGATAGTAAGAAAGGATTCAAGCCGATCTTCGAGCGGATAGAACTGGCATCTTTGTTGCGTTCTGACTGCGATAACGCTTTTACGATGGAAACCTCGCGCGCCTCACTAATTGGCGCGAGCTTAATTGAACCTCCTGCGCCTCGAGTATTCGCGCGATTCGTTCGTCTTAAAAAAGCCCTGAGCCGAATCGCGGAAATGAAAAAGAGTGAAAAGAAGAAATGCGGTCGGTCAGCTACAGTGCACAAAAGAGCTCGCCGGCTGCTATTTCACGGCCGCTGATCCGCGGAAGAGAAGCGCCGTCACTGCCTGCATCTGCCGCTGATTCTCACATACCGGCCGCTTCTTGTTCCGTAGCGAAGGTCCCGAGCAATTTTGTGGCATTGACACCGAATA